ACCCCCCAACCCCGCCCCCAACCGCCCCAACCCTGCCCCAAACGCCCCAATCCTGCCCCAAACACAGCCCCGCAGGCAGCGGCCGGTTCCGCTGCCGTGCACTGACCCCGCAGCCGAGCTGCTCACCTTCCCCCCAAAGTCACGGCCAAGGTCACCGGGAAGTTTCTGGAGCTCAGTCATTAACTCCGATTGCACTCGGAAACCAGACCATAAATTTCTTAGTGTAATAACGCAAAAATCAATAGCTCTGCTTGAAACAACAGCTCCGTCTTCCATTTCAGCCAGGTCCGATGGCTCCCCGCGGGCCGCGTCCCTGCGAGCCGGCGCAGCGGAGCGCAGGGCGGCAGGACCCAGGGTCACGTCACGCATTTATCCCTCTCCCGCAGTTAAACTTGAGGATGATTTTTAAAATGAAAAAATAATTAAAAAAAAAAAGCAAAGGATGCCGAGACAGGAGCCTTTTACGCTCCGTCTCTCCGACATCCTGTCCGGCGCGTGGTCCCTTAGGCTTTCCGTGCTGCAGAAAGGCTTTTAACAGCAAGGGATGCCCGAGCTGGCGCGGACTTGCAGAGGGGGAGCAAAAATACGGGAAAATCGGCTCTTTTCCAGGCCTGGCGTTGGGGGCGCGGGAGGGAGGTCTGGCTCCGCTCGCCTGCTGGTTTTCCCTGGCTCCCTGTCGCCCCGGCTCCACGGCAGGGTTGTCTTGCGCGTGTTGGTGGATGTGTGATCCTCCAAAACAAATTAGCACCGATTCGCTTCTATCCAGAGCGCAGCCATCAGGGAATGGCTCCTGAATTCGCAGCGAAGGAAAGCAATAACGCTTCCAGCGCGCTAATCCTCTCCGCCGGCAGCCCCTGAACTCGCTCCCACTGCTGCAGGCACCGCTGGAAATTACAGTTGTGCCGAGAAATAATAAATAAATAGAGAAATTGGCAGGGTAGGCACGGGTCCAAAGGATTTGTACCCTAATGTGGAAGTCCCTGTTTAATTAGCACTCCTCTCTCCCGGCGCCTGCATCTCCTCCGCTCCCCGCTCGTGCTAAAGTAAATAGAGAGGGGGAGAAAAAAAGAGGCCAATGGTGGAAGTGGCTGTGGGATTGGGAACTCAGATATGGAAACTCGTTTAATTTAAATGCTTGTTTCAGGTCTAATATATGCAGGAAACAGAGGGAATAGAGAGCGCGTTCTTCCCATGTAATCCGCTCTACTTAACCCCAGTTTGGAATAAAGCTTTTGCTGTAATGATACCCTTGGAGTACAGGGGGGAAATGGCTTTGGATGCTGCTTGGAGCTGATCCGGACCATCCCACTGCTGCCTCTGGGCATGGAACGAGCACCCGAGTACCTCAGTGGGCAGGTGAAAGAGGGTTTTTTGGAGAAAACCGTTCACGTTGGAGGCTGAGCTGCTGCTTGCCTGCACGCGGGGTTGGGGGCCCATTTTCCTCGCCTGAGTCTTCCTCTCCCTTCTGCACGAGGGCTTGTTGCTGTTTTGCAAAAGCTGCTTGGACTTTCCTGGAGGAAAAGTGGATTGGAGGCAAGAGGCACGGTGGGAAGTGCATGGGGCATCCCGGTCCTACCCTGGGAATGGGAGTCCCGTGGGAAAAGCGCCAGCAGCCACATAGGGTATTGGGAATGAGGGAGTCAGCGGAGAAGACCAGAGAGCTCTTTGGGTACTGGGGAAGGCGCTAGGAATCCAAGGAAAGAGGAATCCAGGGGGGGAAGTTGATCGTCACGGATTGCCTGCCTGTGTCCCAGGGATCAGCTCCTGCTCCCATTTTGTCCCGAGGTGACGACTTTTCCTCCCGTTCGCAGCCATGCCAAGCAGCTGGTGCCGCTCGGGATGCCGTTCCCAGCGCCGACGGAACAGCAAACCGCAGCTGAGCGCGAGGAGGAGGCAGATTCCCCAGTCACGTCCCACCAGCCGGGCCCTGCAAAGGGCTTCTTGGTGGTGGGAAACGGAGCCAGGATGGCGCAAACGTGAGATCTAAGCACTAATCAACAGCTGCTGCTGCTGGCAGTGCCCGCCTGGCATCCGCGCCGCATCCCGCGGGAAGCCGGCGATGCCTCGGAGCGTCTCCCAGGCACATCTCCCCCTTGATGGGGCTGGGGATTGGGGACGGGGATGTGGCACGTGCGGCGGGGCGAGCGTCACCGCGGCGGTGGCCCTGCGTGCGGCAGCAGCCCGTGTCCTGCCAGCTCATTCCGCGCTGCATCCGCTGCCTTTCATCCCTTTGCAGCCGCTCTGCGTTTCAGATTTACTGGATGTCCTTGCGTTCCGTGGATGAGAGGGCAAATTGGAGCCTGCAAGGCACCTTCTTTGCCGTTCGGCAGCGGATCATCCTGCCGGCAGCAGGGGGGAAGGAGAGTGACGGGCCCGCATCAAAGCCGCCCGCTCCGGCACATTTTCTGCCCGCAATAAAAAGCCTTTGCGTCAACCAGAGCCCGGCCTCGAGCCGCAGGGCCCTGGGCCGGGCCCTGAATGGGGAACAAAACCTTTCAGGCCACCGAGGTGGCGCAGACAAGGTGCTCTGGTGACATCCCACCTTGTCTCACTGCATCCTGATGCGGCAGGAGCCGGGATTTGGGCTGCTGGGATGCAGGATGGGACCAAACTGCCACCACGGAGGCGTTCAGGGCTCTGGGCTCATCCTTGCCATCAGCCAGAGCGTTTTCTCCACCCGTGTGCCCGGAGGGGACGTGGGCGAGTGCGCAGCCCTCGGCGCCCCGCGAGCGCCCGCTGCATTACCGGGCGCTTTAACAGCTCAATAAAAACAGCTTCCGAACAGGCTGCGGGACGCGCCGGCATCGCCGGCGGCTGGGGGCTGTCTGCTCCCGCTCCCGCGCCGCCGGCACAGGAAGGGCAAGCAATTACGGCATGGGGTCTGCGAGGTCTCCGGAGGATAATTTCTATTAATTATAGCCCGCGCGGGATACGGTGACACCAGGAAACGGAGAGCGGCTGCGAGCAGGGATCGTTTTGGGGAGGGAAGTGGAGCAGCAGCTGGGCT